TATTCATTATTAAAAGTTACAAGAAAAAAACAAAACAAGCAGAAATATGAAACAAATGGATGCCAGGGAAATAGTTGAAAAAATGACAGAGAATGAATAGTGTTATATGTAAATAATTCTAAAATAAAAAAGATAAATACCAGCCAATAGAAAAAAAGAAAAATAACATTAGTGGACAATGAACAAGAGGAAAATTATAATGGCTACAAAATAAGCATATAAAATTGTTTAAATCTCACTAATATTGAAATAAATTAAGATATTTTATCTATATTCACTCCATTCAAAATATATTTATTCATGACCAATGTTATACCAGGTACTTTTGTGGGTTACTATGAACAGAGAGGTGAATGAGACAATACCCCTGCCTTCATTTAAGGGAAACAGACAAGAATCTAATAAAAAATAACAACATGATTTGAGATAATGAGAAGTATATGAGGAATATAAAGTAGGGTAAATGGATAGAGCCACTGGGAGTACTATTAAAATGGGAGGAAATCAACATAATCTTCTTGAAAGCTAATTTTCCAATTGCATCAATAATTTAGGAATGATTGTACCTTTTAAAAACATGTTACCTTGAAATAACTTAATACAAGAAGTAGCAAATATAGTACAGCATTCCTATGAGGGTTTCACCTGCCTTTCACCAATGATAACATATTACGTCATAATGGTAAAATGTCAAAACCAGGAAATTGACATGGATGCAATACTATTAACTAATCTACGGACTACATGTCAATTTCTGCAGTTTATACTGGACTCATCTGTGTTTTTGTTGTATAGGACTACAAATTTTTTTTTCACATGAATAGATTCATGTAGCAACCACCACAATCAGGATACAGAAGTATTTCATCACCTCAAAAAAAACCAAAACACAACCAAAACTCATCATCTCCAATTCTAACCCCTGACAACCACTGATCTATTTTCCATCACTATAATTTTGTCATTTTGAAAGTGCTCTATAAATGGAATCATAGATAAGTAATCTTATGAGATTGGCAGTTTTTCTCACTCAGCATAATACCCTGGAGACCCATCTGAGTGTTTGTGGATATCAATAATTGGATTCTCTTTATGGCTGAGTAGTATTTACATTACATGGATGAACAAGTTTCTTTATCCATTCACCCAGTGAAGGGCATCTGGGCTGTTTCCAGTTTGGGGCTATTACAAAGAAAGCTGCTGTGAGCATTTGTGTGCAGATATTTGTGTTGATATATGTTTTCAACTCAGTAGGCTAAAGATCCAGAATTGTGATTGCTAGGTCATATGGAAAGTATATGGTATAAGTTTATACGAAACTACAAACTGTTTTCAGAAGATTATAGCATTTTACATTTATACCAGCAATGTATGACATATCCAATTTTTCCACATCCTGCCAGCATCTGGTGTTGCCACTATACTCTAAGTCACTCTGAGAGCTATATACTGGTATTGTTGCTTTAATTTGCATTTGTCTAATGTCTAATGATATTGAACATACCGTTATGTGTTTATTTGCCTTCTGTATGTCCTCTTAAGTTATGGGTCTGGTAAAGTCTTTTGCCTAATTTCTAATGAAAATGTTATCTTAATATTGAGTTTAAAGAGTTCTTTATACAGTGGTAAGCAAAATATGTTTACGGTTATAATACAAATAAATAATACAAGAATAAAGTCAGAGTTTCACATACTCACAACTGTAAACCTACTTTTGCCAACTCCTGTGTATTTTGCATACAAGTCCTATGTTGGATATGTGACTTGTGAATAGATTTTTATCATCAGCAGTTCTCATCCTCTTAGTAGATTCTTTCAGAGAACAAAATTTTTAAAGTTTTTATAAAGACTATTGTCATTTTTTCTCTTGTGGGTTGTGATTTTGGTGTCATGTCTAAGAACTCTGCCTAACCCAAATCATATAAAAGTTTAATAGCTTTACAGTTTTCATTTAGATCTCTGATCCATTTTGAGTTAATTTGGGTATAAGGTGTGAGGTTTAGATTGAGGGTTTGTTTTTACCTATGAATATCCAATTGTCCCAACATGATTTATTGAAAAGACCATCCTTCCTCCATTGAGTTGCTTTTTCATTAGTGACAAAAAAAAAACACTTGAATGTACTTGTGCAGATCAAATTCTCAGTTCTCTATTCTGTTCTATTGATCTATGTGTCTGTTCATTTTTCTATGAGATACTGCCTTGTTTTCAAATCTTTTGACTCAATTTTATTTCCATAAGAGATAAAGTTAAGAATCCTCCATAAGAGATAGACATATATGGAAAAATGTACATGTAAGGATGTTCATTGCAGCATGTTTTACATATTTAATAACTGAACAAATCTAATGTCTACCAACAGGAAAAAGATTAAAGAAATTATGATAGATTTCAGCAAAATAACTCACTTGGCTAGTGTAGAAACTCTCTCCCGATAAAACCTAGTGATGTTGAATAAACAAAAATGCCAAGAGTGCATGCTGATTTTTGTGTAGCCTTGGATTTGTAACTAGTCCAGTAATAATAGGGTCTTGATTTTAACACACACAAAGCGACAGGCAATAACAGCTTTGGTCAGTCATGGTGGAACATTAAAAACGAGAACTGGGAATAACGCTGAGATCCTCAAAAGACTGTAATCCCAGCGGATGGGAAGTAAAAATGAGCCACATATCTATCTGGTGAGATGATAGCAAATTTTCAGAGAAAAATTAAATTCCTATGACGGGGCTCCACATAGATAGCATCTTCAAAACAATAAGTTAACATAAGCATTTATACTGGGCTTTTGACACCTACCCAGACCGCAAGTGATTTCTAAAAAAAAAAGCTTCCTTTAAGACAAACTAGCAACAAAAGTTTAAAAATATATTGCCGAGGCCGGTTTGGCTCAGTGGATGGGGCGTTGGCCTGCGGACTCAGGGGTCCCGGGTTCGATTCCGGTCAAGGGCATGTTCCTTGGTTGCGGGCACATCCCCACTGGGGGGCGTGCAGGAGGCAGCTGATCGAT